CACCGGGACAGCGACACCGGGACAGCGGGACCGGGACAGCGACACCGGGACAGTGGGACCGGGACAGCGGCACCGGGACAGCGGCACCGGGACAGCGGGACGGGCACAGCGACACCGGGACAGCGGCACCGGGACAGCAGGACGGGCACAGCGGGACCGGGACAGCGGGACCGGGACAGCGACACCGGGACAGCGGGATGGGCACAGCGGGACGGGCACAGCGACACCGGGACAGCAGGACCGGGACAGCGGGACCGGGACAGCGGGACGGGCACAGCGGGACCGGGACAGCGACACCGGGACAGCGGCACCGGGACAGCGGGACGGGCACAGCGGGACCGGGACAGCGGGACCGGGACAGCGACACCGGGACAGCGGGACGGGCACAGCGGGACCGGGACAGCGGCACCGGGACAGCAGGACCGGGACAGCGGGACCGGGACAGCGGGACGGGCACAGCGGGACGGGCACAGCGGGACCAGGACAGCGACACCGGGACAGCGGCACCGGGACAGCGGGACGGGCACAGCGGGACGGGCACAGCGACACCGGGACAGCGGCACCGGGACAGCGGCACCGGGACAGCGGCACCGGGACAGCAGGACGGGCACAGCGGGACCGGGACAGCGGGACGGGCACAGCGGGACGGGCACAGCGGGCATCCCGTGCCAGCCCTCCGACGCAGGCCGTGGGGGCGCTGGGGAGGTTTCCGCGGGCCGGGCTGGGGTGGGGGCCGAGGCTCGGGCTGGGCAGCGGGCAGTGCGCGCTGGAGTCGGAGCTCTGCGCTGGGAGAAGGAGCACCTTAGGCTGAGCCTCCTACCTGGGCAGCGGGGCAGCTGGCCCTTCTAATCGCATCTACTTTCTGTCTTTCTTTTTTTTTTTCTTTTTTTAACAGCAAAGAAAAATCTACCTTCAGGAATGAAGACAAACTCTCAAGACCTTCATCTTTTTCACCGAGCCAGATGGAGCTTTTCAAGGGCAGATGCAGGACACACAAATTTCAAGCATGACAGCAAAGAAGTCCCTTCTGCTCGTTTCATTTTGTAGAAGAAGAAAATAATAAAACTTCTCATAGATCTCTGAACTGCACTCAAGTGAGAGCTGTTAGCTGTCACTAATACAAAAAACTCGAGAGTGTGAAGAGGGTCAAGTGGAGGATCAGCTCATTACAGTGATTTAAGAATGGAGGGGACAAATGCTATTCTCATCATAAATATTTTCTTTCTTGTTCTGTACTGCAAAAGGAAAGACATTCATTGTGTGCTTCAAAGTCACATTGCAATCCCAGTCTAATTGTTCATGTTGGGTTTAATATAAACAAAATCTAATTGCATATACAGCTTTGTAAATCCTAAGCATCACTGGAGCTACCCTGATGAGAGATCAGAATTAGGTACAGTATTTCCTCCCTGCCAGTAACAGGTTTTGAATGGAAAGCCTGGAATGTAAAAAAAGAAATAATGCTAAAAATCCAATCACTCTGACATCCTGTGAGCTAATAAGAGCACGTGAATGCAACAAGCTTAGTACTTCACAGTAATTAATTTGACAGCAAAGAGCTAACAAGAAAACAACAGGCAGAGCAGTGATGACTGGTTCATAGAGGTCACTGTCAAACAAGAAATAGGTGCAAACACAGTCCATCTCCCTTTGGAAAAAAACTATTTCATTGCCCCAGTGAAAATGAAATGCCAAAGAGGGAAAATATAATGGGTTTGATGGGGATCACAAATCTGGCAAGTAAATCTAGCAGTAAAACAAGGTAGAGGTTTTATTTTTTACATGTGGGGATTTTTAATCATCCCTGTTACTGTAGTGGCATGTTTTGCCCCCCCCCCCCCCCCCCCCCCCCCCCCCCCCCCCCCCACAGTTATCCAAAGCCATTTTGCATATTCAAATNTAGAGGTTTTATTTTTTACATGTGGGGATTTTTAATTTTCCCTGTTACTTTATTGGTACCTTTTGTGTTTTGCTCCCCCCCCCCCCCCCCCCCCCCCCCTTTCACAGTTATCCAAAGCCATTTTGCATATTCAAATATTGGGAAGACTTATCTTCTCTCACAGTTACTAACAAACTAATATTCTAATAACCTCCATTGTTATTTAAAATGTGTCCAACACAGCATTCTGGAGGCAGTTCTCACACAATGGACTTTTCTCTGGCTTCCTCCTAGAGAAGAACTTAATCAAACCTCAGATGCTTTCAGGCAGAAGAGCCTTCAGGGAGAGCAAACAGGGTTAACAGAAAGAAATGTGCCATCTGATTTCTAATCTTGCTCAGGGAGCATGGCCTATTGATTGAGCCATAAAGCTCTGTTAATTTTAAGATTTCCTCAGCTTTCAGTTCTTTCCCTTGGGCATAAACTTGTTGCTTACACATAGTGGCTGAACTATCAGGGAAAGCTTCACATTCCATGACTCTGCTCTCTTCCCCTCCTCCCCTCTATTCTATTTGTTCTGAGCTCATCTGCGTGAGGATACATTTTCACACACACCTTCTCAAACCGGCTGCTATTCATCTGATTCAGGGTCATGCTTTTCCATACATTAAATGCAGGGGAAAACTGGGAAGGAAATGGCTGGGATCTGTGCTTGACGGGCAAGCACACGATTAGCCAGGGAGCCCTGCTGTGAGAAAGTACAGCGTCGGAGGGTATTTTCTGTAGAATCATCAAGTCTCATGACTGGAATCTGATGCCTATAAAAAGCTACTAGTATAATGAAAACAGTATAAACTGAGATCCTCAGGCAGTGTAAGTCGTCGGCATGTTCCTGAGACATCCTGCTGCAGAATCATGGAACAGGCCAGGTTGGAAGGGATCACCCATGGGGTCATCTGATCCTACCTCCCTGCTCAAACAAGGTCTTCCTAGATACAACTCTTTCTTCCTTTATAACCTAGATATTTGCTTAAGCACATTTTTCTCAGGGCTAAGGATGCAGAAGTCACTCTTGGAGAGGCCAGTCAGTGCAGCCCTGAGCTAGAAACTGAGCAGGAGGCGATGGCACAAGGAAGCTCCCTCAGTGCTCTGTGTTTCCCCATGCCCTCAGCGGGACCGAGAACAACTTACATTAGCAAAGGATCTAGCCCTTCACCTTTAGCTAAAGCACCTTTTATGCACTTAAACCATTAATAATATCTGTTAGGTAACCTTACTAATCCCTTTGAGGTAGGATTTTCTCTGCTGTACTGATGGCTGAACAGAATAAAAGCTTCACATATGAGAGGCCTGGTTTGCACTAGAAATGCTTCTCTTTTGATAACCAGCAAATACAAGTTTTACTAGCACAAGCATCTTTTTCTGCAAGCGTTTCCCAAATAAAATAGGCTATACTGGCAAAAGCACTTTTTTTTTGCTCATATAGCTGCATCTATATGGGGGGTTTTTGCACGTAGTGAAACACAATCTGTTTTAAATGGCACTTCAGAAAAGCATTGCTATCCCACAGAAGTTTCAAGGCTAGACCTTGAAGTGTATACTTCTGCCTCATATCGAAAGAGCTTTTTACAAAGTGGCAATTGTCATCTTGCAGGAAATACCGAGAAACCGAGACACACAGATACAGGGGTAGGTTGGGAGTGCTGTGCTCTATCTGGAATTTGTGTTCATTACATTCTTTAGCTTCAGATGAAATTATGTATCCGTAATCAGACTCATTCCTCACTACACAAAATTACTTCTTGAACAAGTGCAACAAAGACTGTGGATGTTTCAAAAGCAGCATAATTCTGTATAAAAGAAAAGTCCTATTGAAAATCAGGTAGGTAAATGCTATTCTGAATGACCTAGACATTTTCTGAATTGTCAAAGGTAGACCTAACTCATTAAAAAATAAAAACATTAAGAGGTTAATCTGGCTTCTTCACTCCTGCCTATGCTTCTTTAATTGAAAACTGTTTGTTAACAGAGATTTGTTCTCTAAAAGAAAGGGTCTTACTCTGAACAACACTTGGAAGAAGAGGGGTTTAGCAGACAGAAGCAAAAGACCTGATCAAACTGGGAACTCTTCATCTAAAACAGGTACAACGAGAATCTGAAAGATGAGTCACAAAGAAATACAGTAGAGCCCTCAACAGGTTTTGAAGAGCACCGATTGAATGCCAGCTTTCAGCACGAGTGCCAGGCAGGATGGGGGACATGGGGGAGACAGCAGGACAGGGTGGCAGGGATATACTCACAGCCTCAGCCTCCTGCTCCCACTGTGCCTGCTTCAGTGTGGCTGGAGTGCTGCTCCCCTCACCTCAGCTACCTGGCTGTGCTTCATGGGCAATGTGTTGACTGATTGATCCTCTTCAATCACCCCTCCATGCTCTCGGAAGGTTTGCAGCTGAGTCCCAGGTTCACTGTAGGGAAAGAAGCATGGCTGAATCTTGTGCCCGTGGTGCAGTGCAGCCAGGTCCCTGCCTCAGGCATCTCTCTGCACACAGCAGTGTCCCTTTGCCAAAAGGGCTGACTTCAGGGATCTGCTCCAGTCTCCAGAGTAAAGGCACCAAACACCATCGGGTGGATATCCCATGTGGTATTTAAGAGCTATCCTCTGCTTGTTGATGGCCCAGAGTGTTCTTGTTTTCCTCGCACAGTCTGTCCGCTGCAGTCCAAAGCTGTAGCCTTATAACCAGGCAGTGACTTCCTCTGAAGTTGCTTGTATTGACCTAAATAGGTTGGGGCGGGTGAGGACACACAGAGAACATGAAAAAGCTGTGCTGGTTGCCCAACAAAGAAGTGTCTGCTTTGTGGTGAGCACTTTTAACATATAAGCACTTTTAACATACTGTAAAGAACATGATTTTCATGTTTAAGTTCACACCAAAAGGCTTGCAAAGTAGCAAAGTAGGTAAAAATAAAATCTGCATTTAATTCGTAAACAAAATAGTTAAACCTTGACTTTTTGTAATTTGAACGCTACTTACTGAACGCATTTAGAAATCCATGGGTGCTTTTCTTCTGTACATCCACCCATGATTAATGTATCTGATAGATCAAGAAAATTAACTTTAGCATGGAGCAATGTTAAAATCAGTTGTCCTGAGAAAAGCAGTGATTATCAGGGAGTGATGACAAGATGGACATGTTTCCCTCAAATTTTAAATGAAGCTGAAAATCAAAAAATGGCTGGTAGCTTTGCAATGCCATAAGAGAAATGGAGTACTCGAGTCATGTCACAGTGGATAATCAGTAGCACTCCATGAGTACCTGACCATAAATGGTTTTTTTTTCCCCCACAAGCAAGTAGCACAATGTAGAGGAAGTGACTACACCTACTTTCTCTGGACAGGGTGTAGCCAGAAGTCCTGGGCTTAACCTGAATTTCTCTCTCTTTAGCCCATTTTCACTAGCTCTAAGTTAGAATGACAGCATTCAGTCCTCTGTAAATTGCTTTGAAATGGAGAAAAGAGGCATACAAGAATTCATCTTTTCCATGGAGCTTGACACAAACAGCATGGCCTTGGTGCTGTATGTCAAAAGTAATTTTCAATCTGTTCATAGTTAAATTGCACAGTTTTGTTTCCATGAATCTTACTATATTAAATGAAAACTGTTGTGTAGTTCGGCTGTTTGCAAAAGAATGTCAGAGTGAGATTTGAAAGATGGTTGTGATATGTTTGACTTTCTACTAGGGCCAGGATAAAGGCACTCCTGTAAGAGCACCAAGGTGCCCCAGTTCAAGCAAGGAGGCTCTTCCACTGGGGCAGAGCAGTAGCACTGTCACACGTAGTGGAGCTCTATAATTTAGCCCAGCTGAGAGCTGCCCCACACAGCTCACTCTCATCTGCCCAGTGCTATTTAGCCTCTGCAGGCCTCTGGCTACGATGTTCAGGCTGCCTCACCCCCCATGTTTGCTGCACGGACATTGGCTCCAAGCAAGGTCCTCTGCTATCACACTAAATCACAGGAGAAGCTTATTAACAAATATTTCTGAATCACCTTCTGGCCTGCTTACTATCCATCAGTCCTAAGTCAGTGCCCGAGTATGCTGCGGCATTAAAACAAAATGGGTTGCAAACGCTGCACGACTCGGGTGCTAACCTCTGCCATTTCTTCCAAAACACGTGAAAAAGCACTTACACTGTGACAGCTTTTTCACTGTCCAGGCTACAAGGGGGTCCTCTTGTTCTGTTATTTCCCTGCCATGATCTTCCCAGAAGTGGCGGAGCTTATTAACAAAGAATAACCCTCAAACTTCTCCACAGCCCTTTGCCATTTCTGAGTAATAATCTTGCCCCATCAGTGTTTACAGCTGTGGTTGAGATCCTTACCAAGAACATTATTAAGAATAAATTATAAT